GGACCTCCCTCGACTGTCGCTTTCTCCTCATTGGAGGTAGACGGGAGGCGCCGGGTCACCTTTTTCTTCTTCTTTCTGTTGACGGGCTGGGAGGGGGGCGGGGATTCCCCCCACCGTCCTCCGCCCTTTTCCTCTTTCGATCAGCGGACGAGTCCCGGGAAGTGTGACCCATCCGCCGATCCACCTCCATATTCAGTGGCTCGGGCTCATCGATCTCCATAATTGAGATCGCCATTGATAAGCTGGAGGGGCCGGATGCTCGGGTCCTCTCCAGCTCACCATTAAGGCGGTCGACCTCGAGCCGAAGCAGAGCGCCCTCGACTCGTAGGCGCTCCACTTCGGCCGAGGCCGCCTCCTGTTCTCTCCTTGCAGCCTCGCTCTGCTCAGAGCCATCGATTATCGTGGTTCTCTGAACGAGAGCGAGGCTGCATGCGGCCATTTTGGCCGCGGCGTCCCAGAGGGCCCCCCTATAGGATCCCTTCATATTGCCGGACCGCTCCGCGACCTTTTTCACCTCGTCGACGTCCTGAAGGGCCGTCGACAAGACTTCAGCGGTCCGCTTTGACCGCAGGTCGCGGAGGATCCTCCCCTCCTCTTCCTGAGTTCGGAGGGCCTCTGGGACTGCGGGCGTATGTTAGGATCCTTGACCTGTTTTACGCCCGCAATCGCGTCGCATTCCTCTTTCTCTCTCTTTTTGTGCGCAAGAGCGGCCGCCGTGTAGTCCCCCGTACGGGAACGCACAGCGGGCCGCCCCCGCCCATCCTTCTTGGCAAACCTCAGGTTCTGCGCAGGGAAGCCCGACCGCGAGCTGGTGTCGCCGTCGCTACTCCCCGCGCCAAGGCTGCCCTCTCCATCGCTGCGCGCCGAGGCCGACGATGACCTCGTGCGGCACCCCACACTTTCATTGGGGTGTTCTTTCGCCCCAGCCTCTTTAACGAGGCCACTGCTGGCCTCCTCCCTCCCGGCTGAGCTGGTGGTCGGCTCAGCGTTGGGCGTGTTTCGCCCATCTGAGAGAGGCATACGCCTCCATTTCCTCCTCCTTTCCTCCTACAACGCTTTGATTATTTAAATTTGACATCATTTTAGGTTGCCCGCCCCTTGTCACCCGGAGGCTTACAGGGCGGGCCATAAAAACTGGAGGAAGTATTTACCCCCCAGGCGGAGCCCCACGCCTGGGTTCGGGTTAGATACACCCGGGGTGCGCCAGGTGCCCCGGGGTGGACCGCTCGCGAGCGACTAACCCGCCGGCCATTCATCCCATCGCCACGGCTCCCAAGCTTAGTATTGAGGAGGTTTTTTATAGAGGTCCCTGTTCTCGCGGCCCAGGCGTTTAAGCCAAGGCCCTCGCTCCCCCAGAGGTTCGTCATGTCTATTACCCATTATTCATGTCTATTACTCAAATTACCCATTGACCAGTGTTATTATCCTGCTACAGTGCGTTCAGAAATGTGATTCGAGTGTACCTGAAATACTCCGTTGGAGTACAAGAGATACTACAGTGGAATAAAAAGAGAAAGAATGTACACGAGTAATGTTTTCGAATATACCCCTACAGGAGATTCAATCTTATATGAAGTTAATGCAACCTACTTAAGAAGCTATATGTAACAGTTATTACATTCCTTTTCCTCTTTCACTCTTACACCATGCAATTTAACAAACTCTCTATACAACGTTCTACATAATTCACCTGTTATACCCTGAATATCATGGCATTTACTGGCTACTAACAAAAGGTTAAAGGTCACACACCAGATTCAATAACTAGAGTATCTACCAAAGCTTCCTCACAGTTCTCTTCGATTGTGTCGTCGATTACTGGGCTTTTCAACCAATCTATTGCAGTACCTGTACCGCTACTTGTCAAATCTAATTTTTGTTCCGCATGTTGTACAGCTGCAATAAACAATTATGCATAACACTAACTAAACATGACAAACTAAAAAGCAAGCAAATTTCATTGGATATACTACTACTGTTGGAGGTGGTTTGCAATTTTGTGCCATCAAACATAGGGTTTGGTTCATAATCATGATAATCGGATAAACTGGAATATAGATCTTTACAGTCATTTGGTATCCTTGCCAAATAAAGATTCAAAATCAGGATGTCAACATTAAATAAACAAAAAAGACAGATGACATCGGTATGTACGTATTTGTATATATTTCGTGTATATTTCTATAAAGAACACGAAGTGTAGAGTTAATTAATTCATATTATTCAATGCAGCGCGACAAATTGTATATCCTCATTTAATAAACGTAACATGACAGCTATGAAATACAAATATGAAAAAATACTGATATAAAGACAGAGGATGCGTTTAAGTATTGTGAACAATTGTGAAACATAATACGCCAGCCATCTTTCACGTTTTTTACCTATCAACGTTCGTGAAGAACTCAACGTTGACTGATAGTCCGCTTCCACTTCTGCGCTGTTAATGTGTATGAGATGCTATTGAAGTTGTTATTACTACTTCTGTGTTGTAACAGACACGTGAAATCTTGAATTTCCTCATAAGATGACATTTTCTCCTCCCTTACCTTCTCTCTTTCCTTAGACGGAAAACAACGTACGGACATGCGATGTGCTACGCGTCTTCTAGTCTTCTATCTCTTATAACCTTAAAACATAATGTAATCGTATTGACTCGTTGACGAATTATGTATTGCCGCACATGCACAAAATGTATGTGTTGCAGAAATCGGTACATAATTTGTCAAGAAGATGCACAAAAAAAGTCTCACACTGCACCTGAATATTGCGTACTTAATATTGGGATATCGCACATGAAGAAAACGAAGTGACTAAAGAATCCTACCTTCCTTCAATTGTAGCTTCTGGTAAATAAATATCTCAACGCGATTGTCCACTTGATTTTGATCTCTTGAATTACTGAAGTAAGAGTCCCTCGCAGATAGAAGTCCTTGCAAATAATTACAAGTATGTCCCAAAAAATGTAAAAATACGTACGATCACATCCTTGCGTTGCGACGCTTAAACCTGAACTTGTGACGAAATAATGGCTGCCGTGGACATTTTTATGATACGAATTACACGGTTGCATGAGGTTGCGATCACAGAAATTGAAATAACGGAACGGAACAGTAACGGGGCAGAGATAGAGCCAATCAGAATAATTCTGAATAATTGAGAATTACTCTGATTGGCTCAATCTTTCTTCCATAACTGTTCCGTTTCAATATTTCTATATTCATATGACCATACTTTGCGTCCAGACTTTTGATTGGTAACTTACGCATGCGCAGGAGCTTGAACGCTCAGTGAGCGGTTGTATTTAATTCTCCTATATCGAAGTATATCATTTCCTTATGCGTTGTGCATTATGCCTTTATGCAAAAGTGTGTGCTTTCCGCCTTAAGTATAGTAGGTTACATATTTGTTTATTCCGTATTCAACTCGGAGTGAATTGTGTTTGACAAGTTTGTCATATTCAAGTGATATTTAGTGTGATGTTCAACGAGTTTTCTCAACCATTTTCAAGCGTTCCACATTTTGGACTTGGACTTGCAACAACAAAGTTACGTAAATATGAAGCCATATTTAAAATTATCCACTTCGCGTAAATCGTTGCACAAATTAACAATGAGACAAAAAAAGACTATTATGAAGGTAGTACGGCGTAATTTAAAAATCCAAAATGTAGAAAAAAATACATATAACGTTACCAATGTAGAGTCCAATGATAATTCCGCATTGCAAAATGTTTTAGCTGTATCGCAAAGTAATTATTTTAATAACTTGCCTTCCATTAACGACAATATTGCCAGCACAAGCAGTGCTAACGTAGAGGATGATAGAGTATCATATTTATCTTCCATCTCTTCAGATGTTTCTTGTGCATTGTCTTCATGTTCTAACAGTTTGTCAGAACCATTCTTTACTGAGAATTTAGCTTCTAGTTTTGTTGATTGCAATTTGACGCATAGCCAAGGAAATAGAATATTATCTGTTTTGAGAACACATACTTGTTTGTCTCATTTGCCCAAAGATGTAAGAACCTTGCTAAACACACCAAGGCATCGTGTTGTTGTATGCACTGTTCAGCCAGGGGAATACATACATTTTAATGTGGAACCCTTATAGAAATATCATACTAAGAATCATTGATAATTACTTATTTTCAGTATTAAAAATACTGGATAATTATCAATGATTCTTAGTATGATATTTCTATAAGGGAAGTAGCAATTGTAGAATATCTTTGTAATTTTCAATATGCATCTGATATTAAAGAATTAGAACTCGATTTTAGTACTGACGGATGTACATTAGATAAATCAGGTACAATTCAGATTTGGCCGATTTAGTGTAGAATATCAAATTTACAAAATTCAAAACCCATAGTTGTAGGAATATATAAAGGTGCACAAAAGCCTAATAATGCTAATGCTTTTTTTGAAAAATTTATTATTGATATAACAGCTATTATTTGTAATGGAAGTATAAATTTTCATGGTGCTTTAATGCCAGTTACATTAAGAGCCTTTGTAGCTAATGCATCTGCTCGAGCTTTTCTTTTACATCATTGTGGTCATATATCTTATCACCCATGCTCTAAGTGCAAAGTTCATGGCATGCAGATCGATGGTCGCTGTGTATTTCATGGTGTCAAACATCCTCTTCGTACGGATGAAGATTATAGATTGCGTCGTGATGATGATCATCACAAAGAGGGCACAAGTCCGTTAGCAGTTTTACCTATGGGAATGGTTTCGCAAGTCCCCTTCGAGTATATACATTTAGTATGCTTAAGTGTCGTAAAAAAACTGTTGTCTGCATGGGTAGATGGGAAATACTTACGGATATCGAAACTGTGTGGAAGATCGATTTCATGAATTAGTGATCGTTTAAAAATTTTGATACAATATTGTCCTACCGAATTTGCTAGACACCCTAGATCTTTAGATATTTTTTCAAAGTTTAAAGCAACAGAATTTCGCCAGTTTCTTCTGTATACAGGACCAGTTGTAATGTACGGTATATTAGATGACCAGCTCTATAAGCACTTCCTGCTTCTACATGCTGCTAGAATCTTGCTTTTAAAATCTTCATCAGAGAAACAGCTAAGGTTCGCGGAACTTGCATTGGAAAAATTTGTATCGCGTAGTAATACTTTATATGATGTCTAGGTATAGCTTGCGGAATGGAGCCGTTTTTTGAATCAGCGATATGCCGACGTTTCGCAAACGTTGCAGTTTGCATCATCAGGGCTGAGAACTCTGATAATGAGCTCCCTTGAGTAAAGGTAGTCCTTATATGCCCCCCTCTTACCCCCTTTGTGTAGATGGTGTTTATGGAGTAAGGGACGAGGCTTGAATCCAGCCAATCAGCGTATTTTAATTGATCAGCTGGTCAATTAAAAAACCGGGAGGGCAGTATGCCAAATAGAGTTTACTTGCATACCTTTGTCTCGGTTGAGGTTGTTGGGATGTTTCAAAATTTCTAGACCTTCACGATGTTTTCTGGCAAAATAACTCTGTGAGGGAGCCAATCTGGTGGCTTTTTCATATTGTACGGAGTGTCCAGTCTCCATCCAGTGTTCAGCTAGGGCTAATTGGGTAAAGTGACTATACTTGGTACATCGCTGGTGTTCTTTGATTCGCGTACTATATATATTCT